AGGCAGGCAGGCAGGCAGGCAGGTAGGTGGGCAGGCAGGCAAGCTAGGCTAAGAAGTACAGAAGAGTTAGAAGTTCGGGCAAAGCTCCGGCTTGTCTGGGCACAGTTAACCCTCACTTCAGGGAAGCAGACAGAAACCAGGTGAGAGCAGACAAGCACTGAGCTTCCATTATGAGAAAATAAGCTCAGCAGAGTGGGGTGCAGAGCCAGCTCATTCTGTCTGAAAACGGAGAGGGAGAGGTGGCAGTCAACGTGGGATGGGGCGCCCTGGTCGCTGCCTCTTTCTTGGTGAGGCAAACAGGAAGAATCTGGCTAACGTGCTCTTCCTCTTATCTGGGAGTTGAATCAGAGTAAAAAGTGGACAGAATTCCCAGGAAAGGGTGATGCCCAATCCCGAACTACCTTCCTGACCACAGACCCCAAGTGGCCATCCCTACCCGTCTCCAAGTGCTGCTGCCAGTGTATTTCTTTCAGCCTATACAACGGAAAAGCCTTTTTTCTTGTATTCATAATAGTGTTGCATGTGTAGAGAGACAGAGAGATGGAGAGACAGAGAAGAGCATTCACAGCCTAGGCAGGCTCCGATCGCCTTCCTCCAGTTCTCTAGCCTGTGAGCTCTCGGGCACTCGCACACGCCCCATGTATTCTGGCCGACCAGGTCAGTGGTTGAAGGTGGTCTCTGAGCAGGGTCTGGCTTCGTGTCATCAGTGCATTCTGCTGTGCCCTGGAGTCGGCTCCCTCGACAGTCCCCATGCCGTCTCCCCCCCAGCCAGCCCCCAGTCGGGCATGCACGCTGTGTCCATCAGCCCAGGGAGTCTCTGGATGTGACCCTGGAACTTTCTCACGTGGGTCTGCGGAGCAATGAGCTACACGGCGCCACTGTCCGGTCCCTGCTCTGTTCCTAACAACAGCATTCCACTTCAGAACGGTGGGCTCCGATTTCTTTGAAAATCCCTCCTCAGTTAGCAGGTACACTCACGGACACAGTACCCCATCCCATGGGTCCCTTCTTTTAGAGGCCCAGCTGGGCCCAACTTTCATTACCGCAATGCAGATCGGCGCTCCTGAATGCCAACCGTGGGAACAGTTAACAAGTTGTCTTTGAACCAACTCCACCCCCCTGGTCCAGACTCCTAGTGCAAATCCTAACTGCAGGTACGAATGTCCTTCTCTGTCCTCACAGATTGTGATGCTGAAAGGGAGCAATCCAGAGCAGGCCAGGCGAGAGGAAGTTCCCTCTGAAGAAAGGGGTCACTGGGGCTGGGGGGGCCACAGACATGGCCGCAGTGACCCGATGGTCTGGCTTCCACAAGGAGCATCTTTCAGCATGGCTTGCTGAAAGTAAGCGATGCTCCATTGGGTGTGTAAGCACAGGCAGGCCAGGAGATGGAGGCGGGTAAGCAGGCATTCCCTGAGCTCCTTCTCCAGAAGTGGCCCTTACATGGCGAGTGACTGTTGAGAGGATAACGAGAAGCCGGCAGGGAGCGCAGGGTGGGGTAAGACGTGTGCAGAGGTGGCAGAAGGGGGCGGCTTTGGCTCGTGCTCTCCCACCAGCAGACGTCACAGTCCCTACACCACACAGCCCTCCGTGTGCCTCTGCCGCAGGCACCCAGGACACTCAACGGGGGCCTCTCTTCCCTCTAGCAATGACCTCCTACCTCACTCCCTCTTGTTCCGTGTCCTGGGCTCCAGATTACAGATGCCCGACTCCATTCACTCTGACTTTTTGGAACTCTTTGCCACTGATCCGGCCACGTGGCAACTGCTTTCCCACTGTGGTCTGGTGTGTTAACTAAGAAAGTTATTTTCCAGCCTAGTTAGAAACAGCGGGAGCTTGAATTGACTTGTTAGACTGGCAGTGCTGGAAGAGTTAGGGCCACATGCCAAAGAAAAGACCGGATGGCCAATCACGAAGGAGCACATTTCTCAATCTGCGGCCTGAGACCAAACCCCCTGCTGGCAAGGGAGACCGATGCCAGGCCTTTGCTGCCAGACTCACGCTGGGAGAGGTATGGACTTCATGGTGGCTCCACATGCAGCCGGAGCTCAGAAGTGGAATCACGAACCACCCCGGTATAAGGAGGCAGAAGAAGGGAGACCAGATCCTGAAGACAGTAACCACAAGGAGACCAGAAAGTCCCAGACGTGGCAAAGGTAAAGGGACAAAACACCAGCTCTCTGGCCATCAGGTGCCAGGTCGCAGGCCCGAGGCTAGCCCTGTCCCCTCTCGCAGCCCAGGCCCCATCCCAGCTCCTACCTGGTAGGTACCTGTCGTGGCCGTGGCTGTACTCTGTGGCAGTGAGTGACAAGTGAGTCTGGGTAAAGGGCTGGTTGCCAAACAGATTGTCACTGCGAAGGTTGTGGCAGAGTTTCTCCAGGAAGCGGAGGACGTAGGTGATGCTGTTGACCGCGGGGAGGTTCAGGGTGTGCTGTTCCCGGTCAAACACGGCTGTGGAGGGAAGGAAACGG